CCTTCACAGCCATTGCCAGAAAATCGACAAAATCACATTCTGTCTTCTTCAGGTCAAGAAATATGGCAAATGTCGGCGACTGACGGGTAAGTATTCTTGTGTTGCAGAACCTGTTGGAGGTTGGAAGTATGATCAATGCACCATCATCCAGATCTGAAACGTTTCTGGCTTTTTCGAGTTCCAGTTAGGCGTTGGATAACTATGGGTTGTAGGCTATTGGACAGAATGTTAGTCACACTACTTCCCCTATGGTTGTGACAGTAAGACTTCTCTCCCTTGTTATAGACTGAGATGATGAGTGAAGTACACTAGTCTGACGACACTGCCTCTGATTTCCACATACTATCTATTACCTTCATCAATTTAATGAACAATTTTCTACCTCCGTCGTTGAAAGTGTCTGGTGGCAAACTGTCATGTTCTGGAGCTTTGCATCGTTTCAGGTTCAATGAAGTCTTCTCAATTTCGACGAGATTTGTAGGACCGACATTTCCGTCCCACTGAGGTTCAGGTTGGGTGGATGCTGAGTAGCTGAAGCGTTTCTGTGATCCAGTTGGATTGTTCTTCAGTGTGTTCCACCCAGTATTTTGTCCGTTGTGGTTATCACATGAAGGTGGATTCCTGCAACTTAGCGATCGGTGTTTGATATGCGAGGCGTAATTGTAACTGTGTATTGTATCCTCGTTATATAGTTGTTGTTGGAAATGTTTATATTCTCTTTTTAATTTTTGTTTCTTGATTTGCAGCGTGAAAGTGACACTGACGTTTGTTCTCCATGTGTCTCTGTGTCTGCAAACTTGGGTTGTAGGAAACGTTCAAATCGACTAAACTCTGAAGTTATCAAAAATGCAGTTTATCATGTTTGGCCTCAGTGCCGAAGATTCTTTTTGAAAAAGCAAATGTTAGTCCATTTATTTTGTTTATTCTTTAGAATTATTACTATCTGACTGTCTGTACATCCTTTAGTTTCTTTAGAAAGTATCTGTTGTGTTTGGGTCCTATTCGATGTTTATTCTACTAATTTCCACCATACTGTTTGTTAGTGGAGTCGAAACTTAAGTATTAGACGACCATAAGTTAAGGCTTCATATTCTGTTGAGTCACGTAATAGTGAAAATGTGTTGTCTTTTTATGTAAACATCACATTTCTGGCTAGAAGGAAATAAAAGCTTAACTGTTGACAAAAAATAAAGCTCTTATGATAGCTGCTGCCTTGACGTCGGGGTAGAGGTTACATATTACAATGACCCAACGAACTACGCTGGGGAACTGTTGACCCCTTGAAGTCCTACCATGCTAGAAACGTCTGTTGGTTAGTGGTGAGTTGAAAAGTAGTTACCGTTGTAGTGTAAATTGGTACACTTCGATAGGGGCCGAGGGCGAAGTTGTACCGCTGCTTGCATTAATTTATAGTGCAGAAAGTGCACTTCTCGACTGAATACTAATAAGCAACCGTCAATTTGCTTTTCTACTGAATGGATCCGTAAAGACTAGAAAGGATCGTTACACTAGGCTATGTCTATTAATAATCTCCGCCTACACAGCGACCAACTACAGTTCAAATGATGCTACGGATGAATTCTGTGAGAAACTGTGAATTTCGCTACATCAAGGAAAACATTTAGATGTTATTATAATGGTAAGTGACTTTAACGCTCAATTAGGGAAGCTGAGCCAGTCGAAAGGCATCCTGGTGGTATTTACAGAATCTCAATCCAATGAATCGACAATGGTAGTTGTCATTTGCAATTTTGTTCTGAAAATCACGTGTTTCTGGCCAGCACTAACTTTAAGCAGAAGAAGGTGCACTGTAACACGTGGTGGCCGCCAATATCAAATCAGCGATTTAACACACTGCTATAAGCCATCGTTGGAGGATTACCGCTTTTCCTAGTGTACTATTCTGTAATAAGTTTTAGTCTCATTTTGCAGAATATGTGTTGCAGAACCTGTTGGAGGTTGGAAGTATGATCAATGCACCATCATCCAGATCTGAAACGTTTCTGGCTTTTTCGAGTTCCAGTTAGGCGTTGGATAACTATGGGTTGTAGGCTATTGGACAGAATGTTAGTCACACTACTTCCCCTATGGTTGTGACAGTAAGACTTCTCTCCCTTGTTATAGACTGAGATGATGAGTGAAGTACACTAGTCTGACGACACTGCCTCTGATTTCCACATACTATCTATTACCTTCATCAATTTAATGAACAATTTTCTACCTCCGTCGTTGAAAGTGTCTGGTGGCAAACTGTCATGTTCTGGAGCTTTGCATCGTTTCAGGTTCAATGAAGTCTTCTCAATTTCGACGAGATTTGTAGGACCGACATTTCCGTCCCACTGAGGTTCAGGTTGGGTGGATGCTGAGTAGCTGAAGCGTTTCTGTGATCCAGTTGATCATTTTTCAGAGTGTTCCCATCATCGTTCTAATCGCCTGTCCGGGGAGGTTTTCTTTGTCCAATCTTTTTCGGGAATGGTTTTACGTATCATCGTCTTATTCTCTCAGGTATTCTTACTTTGCGTAAATAGTTGGTGAGTGTTGCCAAATGCTGATGCTTTCTTCATCTTTCGATTTCATTGCCCACCATCATGAAGACATTTGGTCAACTCAAGTTTAGGTTGCTTTCGCTCTTCATCGTGGTTAAAACCAGCCTAAAACGATGCGACACAACGCTACAGCTTGCCATTAAAAATTCTGAAAGACAGAAGTAGTAAATTACTGAGTAGAATAGCAGAGATACTACCTAGTGCGTACGAATCAGAAGCAGTCTCATCAAACTCGTCTATATTGTTTATTTTCCCAGCTCACAAAAGAAGATACAAGTGTTCTTGTTATAAGCATAGGGGGATCAGTCTCACTACCGTTTTGTCCGAGATCCTAGCCTCCATAGTTATCTGATGCCCACCTGGAACCCAGGAAAACTCAACACGTTTCAGATATGGACGAGAGTGTATCGATCAGATATTCACCCTTTGACAGGTCTTAGAGCATAGACACACATACTAGCAACTGACACTTGCCATATTTCTTGACGTGAACGAGGCAATCGACTATCGATAGAGACGTGTTGTAGCATTGTATAATTGGTTAGAGAGTACTGACAGTATGCAATGCTAATCAAAGCCCTCTACTGGTGCTCGCACAGCTGTGTTAGCGCTTATGGATAGTTGTCGTTTGAATTCACGTTGTTCTGCTAGGCGAAGACACTGATAAAATTGAGTTCTCTGAACACCTTGAACAGAAATCTGTGCATATTTTTGGCATACGTTTTGCATCTTCAGAATGGGATAGTGTGCTTCAAGAATGGTCCACACGCAGTCACAGCTTGAGGATACACAATGAAGTGGTGGAAGGCGTCGATCATTTCACTCACTTTGAAGTTGCATACGCTCAAATTGTTCCGTTGCTGACGTAAATTCAGCTCTCATACAGAAGACCATTCGCCAACTTGCGTCATCGATGGTGCCCACAAGACATCCTACTCGTCCTTTATTAGGATAAGTATACTGCACTGTAGTTCGCCTTGTCTTATATATGGTTTTGCTGTTGAAATGAAAGCAGATGTGAAGAGGTTACGGATTTTTGATCACAAGTGCTTTTGCAATCTTGCTCACGTACTGAGCAATGACCATGTGAGCAATGTCAGGATTAGTTGAAGGGTACCAGACAAGTCACTGAAAGAGATTGTGAACGTTAAGCGACTGAGATGGGTTAGACATGTGTTTTGCATGCCGAGCCACTGCCTACCTCGACGTGCAATGTTAACCGAAGTTGTATTGGGTTGGAAGTAAGCTGAAGGTTGCCAGAATAAGACTTGGCACTAGTCGGTGAAGTCTTTGACTGCAGGTGTGAGGCGTGTAGGGAGGTGTATACTGCTTGGTTATATTCCTCGAAATGATAGGAATCAATGATTGAAGACCGTTTATAACGGCTGAAAACCAGTCACAATGGGGCAGACGTATTCATTTGTTTACTTGTAGTGTGTGAACATCACTAACCTTCATGTGTTTCGTATTCTCTATCCTATCATCCACTTTTATCTACTTCGACATAATCTTTCCTACACAGTTCTCCCACTGCTGTGAAGTTTTACAGCTTCAATCGATGCACTTGTATGCGATATCTCTTGTTGTTTTATCTGTCATATACACTTCTCCATTGTCGAAATAGGGTGAAGAATTATTGTTGGAGTAACCGCCATCTTCGACAGTGATTCTGAAGCACCGTAGTGCTTTGATAGTTTTCGATTTTATTTCAGAATTTGTGTGTATTGTCTCTCGGTTTCTTTAACTATACAAATTTTTTGACATTACTTCTTTTAGCTTCTGCTGTGTTTAACAATAAGGATGAGTATACTTATGATCTTCACTGTTATTCTTCCTTTGAGTATAATTCGGTTGAAATTTGTGTATTTGCCAGTAAAATGAAATACTTATTCATTTATTCCTTGTGTGAATAAACAAGGTGGGCAAATTAACGTACAGTGGTGCACAGAAGTACCTCAGTTAAGATTACTATACTTTACTTCATCATGTAGAGAAAATGTTGATAAGAAATTATGTAATAGGAAGTTGAATGTCACACTGAACTTTAGTGTGATGTTTTGCGTCGATTCATTTTATCTTTTTAAACTTCTTTCGCTTTTTAAACATGCATAAGCATTTACCAGTTTGCCTAAGGAATTTAATAAGCATTTTCTACATTTCAGTTGCTACATTTGGCATATAAGACTTACGGGAATATCATGATGGTAGAAAGGTTTCATTTTGGGTCAATAATCCTTCTCACTACAGTAATGATTTATTACATATTTCAAAACATGCTATTTTCCAGTTATTTAGTCTCTTTTTAATGACCTTATTTTACATGTGGCACCTCACATTAGGGTGGAATTATTTTCCTGATGTGAAGTTTGCGTCCAACTATACAACTGAGGAAGCATTCAAATCACTCTGCTTTACTGTGGAAATTTACGATACTGTGATTATCCCATTCAGAAAATGAGGTAATTTTTATGTTTAGTAGAGTATTTTGGTTAGAAATATCTTTAGAGTTGGCTGAACTTTTTGTGTTATATGCTCTTAACCTACCTGAGGGTTCTTTTTTCCGTTGGAAGTATTTTTTGTGTGGGTTGATAGTGTGTAGTTGTGATAAATCTCCTGTTTAACGATAAATGAAAGGAGTCACTCGTTAGAATACTATGGGTTTGCTGTTTGCTGAGAACTTGAGTATAGTATAACTTCGTTCAAAAGAAATATTTAAGCTAAACGAAAGGGCAATCCATAGCTTCATCGTAAATTCAAAAAGCATCATAAAGATGTACACATCCTGATTGAAGTTCCTCATTTTCGTGTTAAGAACTTGATTCTTTTTCATAATTTTTGCATGGTCAACGGAATAAGCCCAGATATTAATAGATAGAACGTTGCGGATAGTTTTCTGTCGCCTTTTTTAGAAGCTTTCTGAATAGTGGCGTATTGGTATGAGAAGAAAACGTATTCTAATTGAAGGTTTGTTGGAATGGTATATAGTGGAAATAATTCTACAGCAGAAATTCACTTTATGCGGCAAGACAATTTCTTATCTTCTAAATGAATGGTTTTTACATAGCTGTTGAAACAATGCATATAAATGCTTTTTTGATATCTTGTTTTATTCATCTTTAAAAATGACGAAATGCGAAGGAGTTTGTAATGTATGTCGTTGTCCAAAAGAAATGAAAGTTAGCAACTTTCTTCAGGCTCTTACACTTGACTACGCATTGCATCTAATATGTGTGAATATATAAAGGTGACAGGAACGCATAGCCAAGTGAATGGTAGTCAAATACCTAAATTACCACGTTATATGCCACATCAATCAAGTACATGACATGATGCCAGACTCTACGCAACATACCGTGAATACTGTCGTTTGTTGCTGTGTTTTTTACTCATATCGAATTTCTCACTAAACCTAGGTTGTATCAGTCCACTGTTTGATTTAGAGGTCCATCTTGATCCTTGATAAGTCAAGCATTTGATAATATATTGATCAAACCATCCATCCATCCAAATCAACAAAGAACTAGGTATTACTGCGTAACGGTCCGAGTTACCACAGCTCATATCAGTACAACCGCAGTGAAATGGAGGATGAAGAAAAGAAGGTTTAGTCAAAAGAAATATAAAGTACTAAAAGAGAGAAAGGAAGGATGAAAAAATGGTGAGATTCGGTATAGCGTCGTAAAGATGAGGATAATATATGTATACATCTACGCCACTGATATCGGTTCTCAGTCATGTGATCACCTAGAGTCAGTCTCCAACCACTGATTCCTCTACCCTGCAGACCCCAACCACCTAGTCTGCATCACCTCACATGGCTCAAATCAACAGTCAGAGACTTCATGCATTGATGCCATGTTTTAGTCTGGTCACGTCAGGTCTTTTTCCAACCTGAACCTACTTCGGCCAACATTGTGTGACAAGGCAATCGGCGACTAGGCATACGTAAGATGTGTCCCAACCATCTCAGTTGTAATTAATGCCGATGAGAAATTGAACTGCAATGCCAATAATGTTTATTAATGCATCACTTCTGTCTCCCGAAAACTGAAATAAATAGACGAATTTGAGTAATTACTCAGTACAGTCAGTGAGTTTACTACAAACAGATAATTATTTCACTTTTATAGTATTTTGTTAACTTGTAAATATGTCTGTCATAATTTTATGACATTTCAGTTCATAGTTTTTTCGTTTTAAATACTCTTTTCACTGATATCATCTATCAAATGTACTCAGATTTCTAAGAAATATTCCATGTAAGCTGTACTGCATATGTTTTTAGTATTGTCTTGTTACTTAAGTGACAGGAAATACATCGGTAAGAATTTTGTGGTTTTGTTGCGAAACTGTTACTTCTGTCTTTATGGAATTTTTTAAATTTAAATCTATTCATTCCATGTGGAGTTTTTCGAAAGTTTTATGATGGACTTAAAGTTCAGTGACTGAGACAGTTGACTACCAGGTATTATGTCGCATATTGGAACTCACTCCTTGTACATTGATATGAACCACTAAATACTGTGATTGGTCCTCATGGAATGAAAGTGGCTGATAGTTTAATAATCGATTATATTGTTAATACTGTTTATTTATGGTTTCTACAAATAAGCGTAAGAATTAGGTTCACCATCCATATATAATTTGTGAATGGAAAACACTGTTTTAAAGTATGTTCAACCCAACTCTGTGCTTGTACATGTACTAGACTTTCGGGTACAATTAAGGTTCAGTGGTGTATGATATTCTCCGGCTACTTAGACTGAAGCAACAGGAATGAGATTGAAACCTTGAACCTATTGTTTGAAAATTGATTTCTTATGCCAGTGAACCATATCTCCACAGATTTTATTACTTCATGATTTAAAACAAGCAATGAATGTGAAAAAAGAGCAGGGTTTAGTGAATTCATAACCCTAACTACGAGTTTGGATCATTAGGACCATACTATTATCCAAACTCACAGTTAATCATATAACCTATCCCCAACCCATTCAGTTTTTGAAAATCCACTCTTACTCTTTGTATTACCACTTGGCCTGAAAAAACTGTTCACTTCTATGTTCTTACACCTGAATCGATGTCTCAGTCTACTTTATATACGTATGTATGTATGTATGTTCTTTTGGATTGTTTAACGGTATATATAATCAAGCATGTAGAGTATCCAGCTGATGAATACTACTGAAATTTATGAATTCATTGAATCCTGTTTTTTTTTTCATCATAAATAAATAAATATTTTATTCACATAGTAGCAATTTAACATAAGAGAAGCCAGTTTATAGGCATCATCATATCGATACATGTTGAAAAATCTACAAGTTGTTACGGGATCTGAATGATACGGAAGGGAGATCATTAAATTCGATTAAAAACTGAATTTTGAGGGAGTTGTGGGGATTCGGAAATATTTCAAGATGTTATTCATCGTAGACTGACATCAGTTGAAAGAATAAAGGAAACCTGGGAGCACTGGACAGCTGTTTCGTCCAACTAGTATGGGACTTCTCGGCAGTGCGCACCCACAACCCCACCAGGGATGGAACCCGCTACCTTCAGGTTCCGTGGCCAGCACGTTACCATTGAGCTATCCACTGGGTCGGAATCCAATGGTCCACATTTCCAACTCCTGTTAGCTCACGATATAGTGCAACCGCCCCTCAATGTTATCGTTGAGTAACTGTCCTCACTACCACCAGGCTTTGCCCCTACCGGTCATGACTTCTCATTGTAACTTCGGGAATACGTCTCGAAGCTAGTCACCAATGAGCACCAGTTCAACTGAATTTTGAGGGAGTTGTGGGGATTCGTTCCCTCCCGGGGTCATGTCTGCGCACTACTGAGGAGTCCCATACTAGTTGGACGAATACGGTGTATACGGTGGTCAAACACCTGAAGCCTTCTCATGTCTTCCACCTTCAATAGCCATGTTTCACAGCCATACAGTAGAACAGACCGGACTGCTGTGCAGGTGTGGTACACGCGACCATAATAGACAATCGGATATCACGGTGGTGCCACAGGCGGCGTAAGTTGGCAAAAGCCAGCCGAACTTATTGTATTCGTGCAAAGGTTTCATCAACCACTGAGCCACCAGAGCTGATCCAACTTTCAAGATAAGTGAAGTGGTCAACACACTTAACCACTACACTCTCTATTGTTAGCCGAGGCACCATTGAAGACCAATCCTAGAGCAACAATTTGCATTTGGGTGGTGAGAAACGCATCCCAAACATTCTCAAATTGCCACTCAGAGTGTCCAGGAGACTCTGCATCTTGTCAGCGTCTTCACTTAACAGGACTGTGTCGTCTGCGCATTCTAGGTCTAACGAAATTTCTTCGCGATTAGATCAACCTCTGTATAGTCAGGTAAGGAGAGAGAGACCTTTATAAGAATATCTATGATAAAATTGAATAAGAATGAAGAGAGTGGGCAGCCTTGACGGATACCACTCGACGAGCACAGCTTCTCAGACATCTCACCAGGGGGAGCTGTGCTAGTCAAACTGATAGCGATGTTATTTGTCTATTATTTGGTTTTGATGTAACTATTTCATATTTGAAATCTTACATGTTTTAGTATTATTATATATATATATATATATATATATATTATTATTTGTCATTTAGGTTTCTAGTGGGACCTAGGGCTTTAGTAGCACGCCGTCATTTCACTCTCTTCGCTGCAGTCTTTTCAACCTGACTCCACAACTGCCCACAAGCTTTCATTTCTTCCTCACATCATCTCCTCCATATCACCCTCGTCTCAGACGGCCAACTCGTCATTTCCCATTTAGCTTTCACTCGACGGCCTGGCCTGGTACGTGATGTCTCCAAACCGTCTTCTCAATATATGTCCAACCCATCTCCGCTTTCTTGTTTTGCATATTTGTTGGGCGAAAGGTTCTTGGTACATTGGTTCGTTGCCAGCCAAAGTTCTTTGTTGCTTATTGTTATCATTTGATCTACCATTTGATCTATCTTCAGTATCGAGTGAGCGTAGGTGGCAGCTGTTGATGAATGTCTGTAGTTTGTTGGAAATGCTTTTCATAACGCGCCAAGTCTCTGAACCATCACATAGAAGCACTGACTGAATTAGTGTTGAAAATGCAGATGTTGTTCACGCTTTATGCTGAGTGGTGTGTAGTGCAGTAGATCTTCACACTGGTTTCAGGTTAACGAAGGACTGTCTTTGCTTTTCGATGTTGGCTTTAACATCGTCATCTGTGCCTATGCCACCTGTAGTTGAAACGATGCAGCCTTGCCTAGGTAGGTGGAGGAAACAATTTCCTTTAGATTTATCTCATTCATGGTGATTGGTGCTTGTTGTTGATGCTGTTGTTGGTTGGGTATGTTCATCACCTCTGTCTTGTATACGTTCACATGAAGGAAGTCCCGTTCTCTTTGTTTGCCCTGTCTATTCTGCCAACTTGTTAGTTTTTGCCTGTGGATCTGCGACACTAGACATAAATCATAATCGGTGAAATCCAAATCTTCTGGGGTCTTTTCATCGGTCAAACAGCGTATGCCCATCTTCTTGCTCCTCCCAGTTTGTTGCATGACCTAGTCGAGTCGACGACAATCAGTAAGATGATCGGTGATAGTGGGCGGCAACCTTGTCTTACTCCTGTCTTCACTTCACTTCAAAGGTCTCACTTAGCTTTCCATTGTGAATCATGTGGCATGTAGCGTCGTCAGATAGCTGCTGTGGAATGAGGTTGATAAAAGTTTGGTCTGTCTACCATATAACTGAACACTATAATGTAATTTTGGTTTTTATGATTTAAAAACATTCCTCATAAATTTCCCATACACTCTACTACCAGTTATATGATTAGTGACATTTGGTATAATCGTTTAACCATTGTATTTGTGTTTATATATGTGTATACTTTAATCTCCAGGGATTTTTACACGCCTTCTCCCGGGCTTCCTCAAGATTTATCATGCCGAAAAAAAAGTATTTCACTGAAAAGTGATTCGCAAAGCTACTAGTTATTCAAGAAGATTCGGAAGCCTGCCTACCTCCAATTGCTACCTTTAGTCACCGTGTAAGTTTGCATCTTATGCATCCTGTTGCCCACTTGCAGCTAAATATTAGCTGTCGACTTAGCTTTTGGTATGTGGTTGTTTATCCATAGATCGAATTGATGAACCGTATCATGTTAATTCTCAGTCATTATAATTCCTTTACGAATATTAAGACTATATACTGTTCGCCTGAATTATTACTGTTGCGAACAATATATTGTTATGTAATATTTAGAGAGCTCTATGTAACCGTGCCGGTAACTAGATATTGGGTGACAGAAAACATGAAGATAAAATTGTTTTTAGCTCAGGAAGACGAAGTTGACACTTGGTTCTGATAAATATCGAAAATCACCAAATTTTTGATCCATGTCAATTTTACTAGAGACTAATTTAGAAATCTGACTTATTTCTAGCTCAGTTTCGGCTTCTCTTTTTATTTTTGCTTACTTTGTGCGCTTCATAACTTGAAAAAAGGGTTTGTTACCAAGGTTACAAGGCTTGAACTTCATTGCTATAATTCTAGCCAATGATCCTATTGATCTAAAAGGGAAGTTATAGGTGATAGGGAGCTGACTATCAGTATATCAGCTAATTGCATAGATCTGTAGAATTCCTTGATCTACTTGTTCTACTCGGTTTTTCGCAATATTCAACAAATCTGTTCTTTGGTTTCAAATGATTTTTGAAATGATGAAAGATATCTGAAGCTCACGACATGGTTGATTATATAAAAGCGTCTTCTGCTTAGTATTGTTCGGGAGTAAATCAGTGAGACTGTAGTTGTTGTCTACAGTACTAGTTGAAAATTTTTGAGGACGGTGATTAATTCACAAGGATGTATATGACTGTATTCCACTCAGTCAAGTAGTTAGTTAATTTCCTGTTGTATACATTTACGATTTTATTTGTCGCCACAAGCCACCATCAAAGCACAGCTTGTTAACAAAATAATGTAACTTCCTCATATCAAAAATATTTCAGAAGCCCATGGGGGGAAACCTTCAGCAATCACTAACTCACCAAGTTATTCCAGAACTCGTCATTCAGATCATAAAATTCAGTACAGTAGGTAGGAATATCAAACATCATTTATTTGGTAATTTTTACCGTTGAAGTTCAATACGAAGGAACGCATGTGACTCTTATGAACTAGCATATTGGCTTGGATGTCATGTATAACCAACGAAAGCCAACATAATCAAGAACAGAAATACGGTGACTAGAACAAGAATACAAGCAAATCAAACTTCACAAGTTTCAAACAGTTTGAATGATTCAATAGAAAGAACACAAAATATTAATATCTTGACTAAATGATAAATTACCTAAACGGTAGGACTATGAAGAACCAATCTAAAGTGGTAGGTGGAAATGATTATCAACTTACCACCGTCTTCACGATCAAAAGATTTCAACCGATCGGAACCCAAGCATTGGATGTAGTTATAAAAGCCAATAAATTACACAAGATAGACGGAAAAACTCAATCCAGTACCATGCACACAACTGCATCAGTTCTAGTTACCACACTCTACAGTAGTATACGAAGACAGCTGGATAAAATAAGTGACATCAAAGTGGACAAAGTTGTGTGAGAGAATAAACAATTTGAAGACAAAAGTTAGTGCGAACATTCAAGCTTTAGAAGACGTCGACGAGTGAATACATCTGCTCCAGTGTGACCGGTTTTCAGCCAATATCTGCAAGACTCCTTAACCGCTGGTTCTTGGAGACGCCAACCAGGTAGTTTGCATCTCCCAACATGCCTCAGACCAATAGTCAGGGACTTCGTCGACTTGTTCAAAGTCTTAGTTTGGCCACCCTGAACCGTCTTCCGACCTAATCCGAATTCCCCTAGCATGGGACATCGAGGTAGGTGGTGACTCGGTATACACACCACATTTCTAAACCCCTCAGTTGCTTGAGGTTTACAACCTCATCAATGGACGTGCTTGTCCTGCATAACGCTTTCCACCTGATTTCAACATTGTTCACACAATGATTCCACCAAATGCGATCAATGCTGTGAGGACACCTATGACCGCTTCATTTCTTCTACTTCTTATGATATTGTCTCATAGCCATGCAACAGGACAGAACGAACTTGAGGGCAGTATACTCGTCCGTTGATAGATAGTGGGATACGTCTCCAGTTGGTGCCACAGATGATGCAAGCTGGCGAATGTCGAACGGGCCTTCTACACCTGAGGTAAGATTTGGTGATCAACCAGCCCGTTTGGGCTGATGCAAGTAAGTGAAGTGGTCAACATATTCCATAGACTGGGAGTACTTGCAGCAGACCGGTCTTGGAGGGTCATGTTACATTTGGCAGCAGCCAGCTAAACTCATGTCAACTAAATATACTCAGATTTTGCTGAAGGTGTTCAGAAGAGTCTACATTTTGTCGTCGTTTTCACCCATGAGGACAATATTGTCTGCATACTTCAAATCAATCATATGGCCTCCAGGGAGTATATCTGTTCCTGCGAAGTTAGATAGATGTACCTAAGGTTATATCCACTAGTGCGTGTATAATGAAGTTGAATAAGAAGGTTGGGAGTGGGAGTGGGCATTGCTGGCTGACATGACTAGTTGTCGTCAGTTTCCATGAGGAGTGATGAGCTTTGATAAGTAGTATATACTTGGTTGGTACTCCCTTCACAGCCATTGCCAGAAAATCGACAAAATCACATTCTGTCTTCTTCAGGTCAAGAAATATGGCAAATGTCGGCGACTGACGGGTAAGTATTCTTGTGTTGCAGAACCTGTTGGAGGTTGGAAGTATGATCAATGCACCATCATCCAGATCTGAAACGTTTCTGGCTTTTTCGAGTTCCAGTTAGGCGTTGGATAACTATGGGTTGTAGGCTATTGGACAGAATGTTAGTCACACTACTTCCCCTATGGTTGTGACAGTAAGACTTCTCTCCCTTGTTATAGACTGAGATGATGAGTGAAGTACACTAGTCTGACGACACTGCCTCTGATTTCCACATACTATCTATTACCTTCATCAATTTAATGAACAATTTTCTACCTCCGTCGTTGAAAGTGTCTGGTGGCAAACTGTCATGTTCTGGAGCTTTGCATCGTTTCAGGTTCAATGAAGTCTTCTCAATTTCGACGAGATTTGTAGGACCGACATTTCCGTCCCACTGAGGTTCAGGTTGGGTGGATGCTGAGTAGCTGAAGCGTTTCTGTGATCCAGTTGGATTGTTCTTCAGTGTGTTCCACCCAGTATTTTGTCCGTTGTGGTTATCACATGAAGGTGGATTCCTGCAACTTAGCGATCGGTGTTTGATATGCGAGGCGTAATTGTAACTGTGTATTGTATCCTCGTTATATAGTTGTTGTTGGAAATGTTTATATTCTCTTTTTAATTTTTTGTTTCTTGATTTGCAGCGTGAAAGTGACACTGACGTTTGTTCTCCATGTGTCTCTGTGTCTGCAAACTTGGGTTGTAGGAAACGTTCAAACGACTAAACTCTGAAGTTATCAAAAATGCAGTTTATCATGTTTGGCCTCAGTGCCGAAGATTCTTTTTGAAAAAGCAAATGTTAGTCCATTTATTTTGTTTATTCTTTAGAATTATTACTATCTGACTGTCTGTACATCCTTTAGTTTCTTTAGAAAGTATCTGTTGTGTTTGGGTCCTATTCGATGTTTATTCTACTAATTTCCACCATACTGTTTGTTAGTGGAGTCGAAACTTAAGTATTAGACGACCATAAGTTAAGGCTTCATATTCTGTTGAGTCACGTAATAGTGAAAATGTGTTGTCTTTTTATGTAAACATCACATTTCTGGCTAGAAGGAAATAAAAGCTTAACTGTTGACAAAAAATAAAGCTCTTATGATAGCTGCTGCCTTGACGTCGGGGTAGAGGTTACATATTACAATGACCCAACGAACTACGCTGGGGAACTGTTGACCCCTTGAAGTCCTACCATGCTAGAAACGTCTGTTGGTTAGTGGTGAGTTGAAAAGTAGTTACCGTTGTAGTGTAAATTGGTACACTTCGATAGGGGCCGAGGGCGAAGTTGTACCGCTGCTTGCATTAATTTATAGTGCAGAAAGTGCACTTCTCGACTGAATACTAATAAGCAACCGTCAATTTGCTTTTCTACTGAATGGATCCGTAAAGACTAGAAAGGATCGTTACACTAGGCTATGTCTATTAATAATCTCCGCCTACACAGCGACCAACTACAGTTCAAATGATGCTACGGATGAATTCTGTGAGAAACTGTGAATTTCGCTACATCAAGGAAAACATTTAGATGTTATTATAATGGTAAGTGACTTTAACGCTCAATTAGGGAAGCTGAGCCAGTCGAAAGGCATCCTGGTGGTATTTACAGAATCTCAATCCAATGAATCGACAATGGTAGTTGTCATTTGCAATTTTGTTCTGAAAATCACGTGTTTCTGGCCAGCACTAACTTTAAGCAGAAGAAGGTGCACTGTAACACGTGGTGGCCGCCAATATCAAATCAGCGATTTAACACACTGCTATAAGCCATCGTTGGAGGATTACCGCTTTTCCTAGTGTACTATTCTGTAATAAGTTTTAGTCTCATTTTGCAGAATATGTTACGTGAGTTACCGTGAAACTTCATAGGATTTAAACATTGTCTATTCAGTTTATTGTGAAAGTATAGGATCCATTATCTATTTAGTGTCCATAATAAAAACAAACGCCTTTTTATCACTTATGTTTTTCAGTAGTATATATCTGAATCTAGACATTTTACTAACTTAATCAATTTGTTAGTCAATTCCAGAAGTAATTTGGAACATCGCTCCCATCCGCACAAAAATCAGTTAAGTCTGTTATGTTCGCAATGTGGGAGACGTTTCAGTTCGAAAGAAAACTTGAGAAGACATATGAATATGCATTTAGGTAATTGTGATTATCATTGCCCTGCTTATGTGTATACTACCTGTTATAGCGTAATTAATTACCTGCTGTTTTTGTGTGAAATGACGAAATTTCGAGAAAACCATGCAGGTTTCACGTTTCCACTCCACGGAACTCAGAAATACTTACTATTGCATAATACTAGCTGTTTCTGGGAAATACATAACACTTATTAATTATTTTCACTCGAATATCCGTGGTTTTATCAGAACCTGTGGTGATCCATTATGTGCAATATTTACTTCGATTGGTATTAGTCAAAAGTTATTGCTTTCTACATTTTAATTTAACTTTGTCACAGACTTGCTAGTGGGGGTCTTTCTTTCCTCATCTGGCTGTACAGGGATTGATTATCTTGCAGGAGATTCGTTAGTCAACTCAGATCACGAGACGATATAGTCCTGTCAGACTAAAATACTGACAACATATAGTTTGTTGAAGACGTCAAGTGACAGTTTGAGAGTTTTTTGAACTGCGTTTCCGAATGCCAAAGTGTAAACTGTTGCTTCAGGACTGATCTTCAGCAATACTTCATCTGACAGTTGGAAATGAAGCTGTTGAGCTCATTCTGCACTCGATCTACATAAGCTTGTATGAAATATCACATTACTGGTATGGAAATACAACTGTGACAATTTGATTTTCTGCATATATATTTACTCGGGGTTATTTGAGAAAAGAGGGTTGGTTTTAAAGTAGTCCATTGGCAAGTACCTACTTCATAAACTTTTGGATGTGATTTCAGCAAACCTTGCTTTTATTAATCATAAAAAATTAAGCTAGTAGATAACAGTCTGTTTTGAAAGAACTATCTGGTAGTTTTATCCTTAGTTGTACATTATTTATGACTCAAAATTGATATTCATTTTACCTGTTTAGGTTTGAAACCATATATATGTCAAGTATGTCATCGTGCTTACTCTCGAACATCAGAGAGATCTCGGTGCATGAAGAAGCATCATCATGAAGAAAATATCTTCAAAAATAATAAACAGTGTTCATACAACGTTCACAAGGACTGGAGTTCTTCTGGTTTATCTGCTCTGCAAATAGAAGATAAAATTGATCAATGTCGTCCAAGACCATATGTATGTCAAATTTGTGATGACCACAGAGCTTATACAGATCCAAGCTCACTCAGAAAACATATGCGTTCTTTCCATGCAGGTCTTAAAAGTGAAAAGTCAACAAAAAAAGACAGTGATTCCGTTCGGAAACCTTCACTGAATCCGGCAAATTCTGTAAGTTGAAATGCGAATCTAGAATAATAATTATAATAATAGTGGCTTGGTTCTGAAAAATATTTTGGGAGTGCTGTACACAGCTGTCAGCGTGTCACATAGCATCAAGTTGACAGAGACTATATATATATGATAAAAGAAGGTAAAAAAGATTAAGTATATATCGAAAGTAAGAATATTTACTCCATACAACAATTTCTTCAAAAGCTCAGAGATAACTTTAGTAAACAGTCACATTAGCAATTAAATACATTATATTATTATTATTTGTCCCTTGGGTTCCTAGTGGAACATAAGGCTTCAGTAGCAGGCCTCCATTTCACTCTCTTCTCTGCAAACTTTTGAACCTGGCTCCATGACAGCCTAGAAGCTCTCATTGCTTCCTCCCACGATCTCCTCTATGTCACCCTTATCTCGGACGCCCAACTCGCCGTTTCCCATCTGGGTTCCACTCGGCGGCCTGGCCTGTTTGTCCACAACAGTTTTAATTAGAAGGTCTAGAGGTACATCACTAGTTCTGCTGGCAATCTTCGAACTTCTAATCAATGCAGCATAGTCTTTTTTTAGCAACCGAGGGTGGAATAGAGGTGAACAAAAGAGAATAGGCAGGATATCACAGTTTATAAAACACGAGAGAAAAGGCTGAGTTATACCAGGAACTCGGCTTCCTAACATAGAAAGTTAGGCGGTAAATGCTTCTGGAAATTAGCAAGATATGGGAGGACCAGAAAAGGTTTGAAGAAAAACACACCAAGATAAATCACACTTGCAACATTCTCTTATACACAACCATTAATCGAACAGGAACCATGAGACCTAAGCAGTTTACGTACATCATGTTCGCATCTGAAACTAAAGTTTATAGTCCGACATTTTGAAGAGTTACGCACAAAAGCATTCACGGAAGACCATCGCTTAACATCGCCTAGATAGGAAATCATTTAGTTAGGAACAATCTGCTGAAGAGGAGACAGGTGTGGGAACTGTAAGGTCATCAGCATAAGTAGAATTGTGATATAAGGCAGAGTGCTAATGTATAGAAATTGATTAAGATCTCCATGAACCTCTAATTAGGGTTCAAGTACAGGTATTATTAGCTTCTCCACTCGGCGGCCTGGCCTGTTTGTCCACAACAGTTTTAATTAGAAGGTCTAGAGGTACATCACTAGTTCTGCTGGCAATCTTCGAACTTCTAATCAATGCAGCATAGTCTTTTTTTAGCAACCGAGGGTGGAATAGAGGTGAACAAAAGAGAATAGGCAGGATATCACAGTTTATAAAACACGAGAGAAAAGGCTGAGTTATACCAGGAACTCGGCTTCCTAACATAGAAAGTTAGGCGGTAAATGCTTCTGGAAATTAGCAAGATATGGGAGGACCAGAAAAGGTTTGAAGAAAAACACACCAAGATAAATCACACTTGCAACATTCTCTTATACACAACCATTAATCGAACAGGAACCATGAGACCTAAGCAGTTTACGTACATCATGTTCGCATCTGAAACTAAAGTTTATAGTCCGACATTTTGAAGAGTTACGCACAAAAGCATTCACGGAAGACCATCGCTTAACATCGCCTAGATAGGAAATCATTTAGTTAGGAACAATCTGCTGAAGAGGAGACAGGTGTGGGAACTGTAAGGTCATCAGCATAAGTAGAATTGTGATATAAGGCAGAGTGCTAATGTATAGAAATTGATTAAGATCTCCATGAACCTCTAATTAGGGTTCAAGTACAGGTATTATTAGCTTCTCCATTATTTTGAAGAACGGACTGGTAACTGCACTCTGACGGAATTTCAAACATGCGCCTGTAGTCAGCAATTTAGGTGCTGGGACTATCTTAATGTCTCTCCTGATAGCTGGTATTGTGTTTTCTACTGTTGTTTTGTCTACTAAGCATGTTTATATTAATGGATGGGATGAAATAGCGCACTTCGTGAATATGAAAGTAGACATGCCATCTGGACCTAAACTACGTGAAGGGTTCAGGGATTTGAGACATTTGAAAGCATCTCTCTCGGTGAATTTCGGACTACATTCTTCATTGAAATCGGGTGGACAGAGTGGGATGGGACAGTTGGGTTAGCGTATACACGTTATGTTTAAAGGGAGGACATCACAATTATGCTTCCTTACTAAGATGTTTATTACCAGTTTCCACATACTGGAAGAGCCTATGCCTGACAAAAGCTTCTGGTTAGATATTAGACTCAGATGTTTAATTTCCAACCTAACTAAAATATTCAATCAACGAAAAGCAGCATAATCTCTTACTTTATCTGGCTTTTTTTGTCTTTTCAACCTCTTAAGTTGGGGAGAGGATATACGATGGAAACGTAAAAATAGTTTTTCACTAGGGCAACAGATATCCAGGTAAAACTTGGGATAGCGTCTCACACCATCAATTGTGTTCGTTTAAAACATCACTTTCAAATATATTCCAGTCTGTACTTTGTAGCGTTCTTCTTAGTTGGATTATGTTATTTTGTGAATAGTTTCTGTGTACGATTTCCTTGTATATGAAGACTGCTTTGTGTAGTTTGCCATATATTTTGAGCAAAGCTGAGCAGTGAGGTTCTGTTTCAAATTTCATATCACTATCACTGTCGAATGCCAAGTCTAGTGTTACATCGTGATGTGTTGTGAAGTTAGTAAGGTTTAGGCGACCAAGAGTTTTGAGAAAGGTTTGGTCACAAGAATTATAATAATACTAATTAATCATTATAATTAATAATGCCTTTTTGGGGAAAATTGCTTATGCGCACTAGGTTTTTATTTTGATGTCTTCTCTTGTCAAGTTTTACATTTGCGGGAACTCCATATTTCTTGTTTACGTTTAATGCGTTAGTGTACATGGATAGGTTGCATAGTCAACTCAGCTTTATTTGTATGTTGAAACTGCAAAGGTTGGATCGAATAAAATTTATTCAACTTTCAATGTCATACCTTCAACAGAATCCATGATATCATTCATTTATCTTTTTTTTCATGTAGAAAATCCCGATATGTGATGAACCTATAAGTCTTGTGCTGGACAACCCAACTATTGATATGGATGCATCGTATGAAACTGCATTCACTTCTGAGATCACAACAGTCCCTACAAGTAGACAACCTTTTTCAAAGTCTCTTTCTCCGTCTTCATACCATAATACTGTAGACATGTCAATGACTTCAGATACATCTACTAAAAATATCATGAATATAACCACTGTTGTTGTAACTGGTTCAGATGTTTCTTCAAATATTGTTACTGCTCCTACATATCAGTTAATACTAGGTTCATCTTTTCATCCTACTTACGATACTGTTACTCTAGCTAACTCTTTTGGAAGTTCAGTGATGGCTACGACGATAACAACAACAACAACAACAATGGCAGTAACAACAGTATCAAGAAGTGAATATGACAGTGAAGCTGCCGTAGATTTGTGCAACTCAGCCTTATGTTTACAAGTCTACTCAGACAAAGTATGTACTAGAAAAAACTTAAAATATGGTTTATATTTGATTTGTGAAAACTTATTTAGTAAATGTTAACAGTTAAAATAATCTGTTTTTTTCTGCTACTTCTGTAACAGATAAATGACAAAATTTCTATTCGAAACGCATAGCTCAGTGATAACCTCTCTGACTGCAATACTAAGTGATGTGGCTTTGAATATCTTAGAAGACATTTGTTGCTTCCTGGTTGCAGATACACCTTGCTAATGAGTACCAACAAGCATAAAATCTAGGTCCAAGGCTTCTTGCCCATTGCTTTTAACATCAATCTAAATGCACCGTAATGCTGAGTTTCTTAGCTTGGTAACCACACCATAAAATAATCAATAGAATATAAGATTAGTAACTCTTCAGTAACCAATCGGTATGTAATTCTAGTATACTGTTATTATTATAGCTGTACTCTTCAGGTGAAATAACAATGGATAGACTTTATGTTAGTGAAAGTGCTACTATAAGTATACATAGGTGAATCGATCGATAGTTTGTTTTTGGTATTTAGTGTCAAATCTTATAAACTTAGATTAGTTGCATCATGATTTTTCATGGTAATTATTTAATTTTCCTATTCCTTTTAGATATATCCTTCCTTACTATCAACGGAGTTAGAAAGAATCGATTCTTCATCCTTACCCTTATCAATAGCAAATCCACCAAGTTTGATATCACAATATGTTACACAAACTAACAAAAGTGTTGACAATGGAATGACTTCTAAAAGTTTATTTTATTCTAATTCCGGTCTTGATCTAACTGATACACAATACTTTACACTAACAGGACCATCGGAAGCAATCGATTTGTCTGCAGAACCACCTGTTGATATAATTACTGTAAATCCAATTGATTTAAGCGCTTCTCATCAATGTACAATGTTTTTCAATTCAACAAATAACTGTTCAGATAATTCATTCTTTACAACACATACAATATGGGATCCTGAACCAGGTTTTAGTTTTACTGACCTACTACTGACTAACAATAATGATGACGATGATAGAGTTGAAACATCTGTTGAATATCCAGAAGTCATAGTATACCCTGAAAGTAATGTTTCTATGGACTATCGTTTCAATGAAATTAATATCAGTTGTAACACTACAACACATAATCATAAAATGAATGTCAACCGTCAGCTTTGTGTACCGAATTTACTTATTCCCTCTTGTAACGACTATTATTTTCCTTTGTGCTCAGTCACAACGACAACAGCATCAACAACGAGAACAGTAGGAGCACATATCGTACAACCACCGCCTTTAGATTTACGATTAATACAAACTAATTTTTATTCATAAGTTGTAAAATCACCTTTTTTTTATTCTCCCACATATATACATATGTAAACTTCTGTGTTACTTTGTTTTTCTTGCTCTTCTCATTCATCTGACTTTCTTTTTGGTGAAATATCTATACAACGTATGCTACAGATCCCTAATTTTTTTTATGAAAACATGTTTCACCAATCCTGTGTATTATAGTTATCGCTTACAAAACATTTTATGTCTTGTTCATTTCGTGTGTGTGTGTGTGTGTGTGTGTGTGTGTGTGTGTGTGGTTTACTGAATTTTCGTTAAATGTATAGGTTTTGATTACTGACTGAAAAATAATCTCACACGAGTAATTTCGTTGTTAAGCTGTCGAATTTCTATAATGTTGCGATCATTTTGCCTCTGTTAGTCGACTATCATATTAGAACAATAGCGAGAGGATTTATTGTTCAGAGTAGCGACAATAACTGTTTGATATCAGTTGAACTTTCAGATTATAGTATTATCTATGTTCCAGTAGCTGGTTCATGTATGTGGTCAAGACCATTCATCTTGATCTCAACCATGTATTTGTTAGGCGTTTGTCTTTATCAATGAATGTTTCGTAATTGATGCTCACAAAGAACTAAGAATTGTAATCTCTGTTGACAGGTGTAAAGCACAAAACTTGAAAGCAGACTTGCTTATCATTACCACTTTCCCAAACATCTATCTGACATAATTGTTTATATATTTACTGTCCTACAAAATAAAATCGAAACACAAACAGAACGTACATCTATATAGATATAGTATGCTATATACAAGTTATATTGTAAAGTTGCCTGTCATTAAACAAAACAGAAATTAAGTCATTTGAAGACTGCAAGATCATGAAGTCTTCCTTTGCCGCCACACATTTTAGTACAAATTCTTTCGCAGTGGAGAGTTCATTGAAATACGCAACGAGCAGTTGTTAACTCATATTTGTTCGAAGTCGCTAGGAGCTATGACTAATCAATTTAGGGTAGATAATTTTCAACCAATTGGTCACGGGTTCGAACACTACTCCACCTGCTGAGGTGTACGCAGCCAGATACTATCATTAGCTCGCACACAACAGGTGTGGCGGATTGCTTACTGCACGAATATCCACAAGGTGGCTGAGTTCATTTCGAATAGTTGACAGATTTTGGCACAACAAATTTCATTTCAGTCCCTTTCATTTATGAACGTGAATAGAACAATTGTTGTTCTTTTTTTATTCAAAACAACTCCCGTTAAGATGAAATTGATTATTCTTGTCTGAAGGCGAAAAAATAGTATCATCTTGTGCAATACATATTACCAATCTAAATAGCTACTAATTATATTATTTGTCCCTTGGGTTCCTAGAGGAATATAGGGCGTCAGCAGCATGTCGCCATTTCACTCTCTTCGCTGCAGTCTTTTCAACCTGACTCCACAACTGCCCACAAGCTTTCATTTCTTCCTCATATCATCTCCACCGTATCACCCTCGCCTCAGACGCCCAACTCGTGGTTTCCCATTTAGCTTTCACTCGACGGCCTAGCCTGGTACGTGATGTCTTCAAACCGTCTTCTCAATGTATGTCCAACCCATCTCCACTTTCTTGTTTTGCATATTTGTTGGGCGAAAGGTTCTTGGTACATTGGTTCGTTGCCAGCCAAAGTTCTTTGTTGCTTATTGTTATCATTTGATCTATCTATCTTCAGTATCGAGTGAGCGTAGGTGGCAGCTGTTGATGAATGTCTGTAGTTTGTTGGAAATGCTTTTCATAACGCGCCAAGTCTCTGAACCATCACATAGAAGCACTGACTGAATTAGTGTTGAAAATGCAGATGTTGTTCACGCTTTATGCTGAGTGGTGTGTAGTGCAGTAGATCTTCACACTGGTTTCAGGTTAATGAAGGACTGTCTTTGCTTTTCCGATGCTGGCTTTGACATCGTCATCTGTGCCTATGCCACCTGTAGTTGAAACGATGCAGCCTTGCCTAGGTAGGTGGAAGAAACAATTTCCTTTAGATTTATCTCATTCATGGTGATTGGTGCTTGTTGTTGATGCTGTTGTTGGTTGGGTATGTTCATCACCTCTGTCTTGTGTACGTTCACAAGAAGAAGTCCCGTTCTCTTTGGTTGCCCTGCCTCTTCTGCCAACTTGTTAGTTTTGCCTGTAGATCTGCAACACTAGACATAAATCATAATCGGTGAAATCCAAATCTTCTGGGTCTTTTCATCGGTCAAACAGCGTATGCCCATCTTGTTGCTCCTCACAGTTTGTTGCATGACCCAGTCGAGTCGACGACAATCGGTAAGATGATCGGTGATAGTGGGCGGCAACCTTGTCTTACTCCTGTCTTCACTTCACTTCAAAGGTATTACTTAGCTTTCCATTGTGAATCATGTGGCATGTAGCGTCGTCAGACAGCTGCTGTTGAATGAGGTCAATAAATATTTGTGGCACTAAAACCGTAGTACTGAAGCAGCTGCCTGCCAAATTACTTGTCGGTCGACGCTGTCGAAGGCATTTTCAAAATCGATAAATTTGAGGTGAAGATCTAGTTGACTGGCATTCTATGCTTGTTCTATGATGATGTGTAGCACAGCGTTTCAATTTGATCCGCACATTATTATTTTTTCCTGAAGTCAGCCAGCCAGCCTGTTGCGGTCATAATTCTGAATTCAGAGCAATTTTTAGTCTCTCCAGGATGATGCTACTTAATATTTTGCTTTGGGTGTACAGGAGCATGATTCCGCGCCATTTCTTGTTCTTGCAAAGACCTAGGTCGCCCGTTTTTCGGGAGTTTGACAAGGTAGCTCTTCTTCTAATCAACAGGTACCTAATAGATAGCTACTTACACTTCTGTAATCTAGCAAGTTGTTTGGGAAGATGTTCGGTTGAAATTAAAACACTATCCGATTCCAAAGTGCTTTGTCATTGGATAAGACTATGAGTCAGTGCTTCCAATAGTATTCCCATGTTCAAACGGTTATGTTTCTCAAGTTAGGGAGTATAGTACTTTTGTTTGATTGTATTTATTTACACTAAGATTTTCAGATTTTATTTGTCTTACAATTCTTTTCATACTTTTCTTTAGTCTGCATTTCTAAATAAGGAATCCTAAAAACTGCGGTATTAGTCCTTTATTTTAAGAATGTATTATTAATTTTGTATATTTTTTAAAATAAATACATGAGTGAATCCACAATTGTATTTCTCTTCATTTCTATTGATTTAATAACTCGGTATTTTAAAATTCAATTGTGCTTAAATCTCTAGGTACTTTCTTTTGTAAAGATTCTTGTTGATGGACCAGATGATTAGTAGAAAAGCTACATGAAATCAATGCTATGGCAAACAGCTAGAGATCTCATCTTGTTTGCGTGTACTCTAGTGGATGAACACATACAATAAGGGATACAAGATGATTGACCTACATCTCTCCTGGTTATTTTGTATGCCTGACAGAGATTACGTGGTTTTTTTTAGAGTTTTCAGATATCTATAGAGTTGTCCAAAAGTTGTTTAGGTTTGCTGGTAAATATATACTCAGTTCACAGAACGTTTTTATGAACTATTATACTATCTGATTTTAACATAATGTGAACTAGTATTGATCTTGCCTTAGTGATTGGTCTATTCGGTAAACCTAGTTTTAAGCCTTATTATTTAATACCACTCATTTATGAAAGGAATAATTCTCAGATTAGCCTTATTTGGAGATAGTCCTTTGAGAGAGAGCGTATTTTTGTTAGAATAATGTATTAAGTTGAAGGATACTATTTGGATTAAGCGTTGCAATATATTCCATGTAAATGATTTTCATTCTAATCATATGATGTATATTTAATAATGAAACTTCTTAACTTTTGTACAATTTTCTCAGTCAGATTTATTATCCGATACAACTTCAAGACCAAATTATTCGGGATGCATCAATTTAACACCTTTTGGTGAATTCCTGGTATGGACCGCTGAAGGTTAGTGAACTTAATTGTTTAGTGAAGTAAAAAATGACTAAGTTGATTTCATTATGATAAAAAGAAATCACTAACGTATACTATGAATATTACTTTAAATCTATTTATGTATTTATAAAGTAAACATGTTACTTTTAAAAGGTGCGAAATTATAAGTAGCGATTATGCCTTTATTACCACATTATTCGTAGTGTCACTTTGTGATCGGTCTGTTATAACAAGGAAAATCTGAAAGCATCAAATTATTTAGCTTACAGTTACGACCATCATTTGATTACAAACCTTGGGTTAGAATTTATTTGGAACAGGTTAGCTTACACAGTAACTATATTCGGTTAGGGCTTCATCGGTGTATCTCTTCTTAGAATGAGATACCTTCTATTATTGTTTTCTTACAGATTGTCAGGAGTTACTATTCAAACCATTCTATCTTATCTCAACTCCTGACCACTTGATCATATACCTATTTATTCCTTTTATTGACTATGTATTTACACTCGCTGAAATTGTAGATAGTGTGAAGTTATTCCCCATTTTACTAATTTCAATATTGTTCATGGTTGTTGTAAGCTAACGCCGTTTCACGGTCAAATAAAGATCAATACTAGATGAATGTATCCATTCCATACAGTCATTGAAAGTAGCCGCTTCGGGTCCACGGGACAAGAGAAACCAGTGGTTGAAGGCTCTAGGTGATAAGGCTCACAATCAATGTTATCGGTGGAGATGTATACACACATTATCCTCATCTGAATTGCTATACCGAATCTCACCATTTTTTCTTCGTCTCTTTAGCTACTTCCTACTTCTTTCGATCGATTTTTTCTTTATTTCTTCGTCTTTCATCTTACTACTTCGTTACTTGATGTGGTGATATGAGGTGTGACAACTTGGACCATTACGCAGTAATGCCTAGTTCTGTGTTGTCATTGGTTGATTCATTGATATGTTTCATGAGGTGATGCCATAACGGCTAGCTTTTTAATCTCATCTATGAAACCTTTAAAGGTTTATTATTATTGCACATAATTATCTTACACTGTTCTCAGTAGTGACAAGGTATGATGTTGTCTGTTAATTGTGGAAGATGCATTGAACAAAAGGTTCCATCATCCTTATTTTAAGACTGAAATATTTATGTTATAATAACAATGATTTTAAATGCCTGATGCGATTTTATGGTGATACTTTGAAGGTATTATATAAACTCAATGAGAAAGTCGCAGCATGAAAATATTTCCTTAACAGGAGATGAATAAATCTGTATTGGTCTTCGAAATCTGTTGCTTTCCCTTCTGTCTGGAAGTTGAACTTGTCGCTACCTTGATTCATTTGTAATTCTCTCGGTTGTTAAAGAGTGTAACAACTAGAAACGGTGAATAGCTGTCACAACTGTGATTCGCCTACACTACTCTATAGAGTAGAATTTCTGAGTATCTTATCTATTCTAATATATATTAGATCAGAGGGATATATGCATATACATTCGTGTTCATCGGTTATTAAGACATGTCTTCTATACAAAAGCGCTATATATACGTTGTTTATGAACTTATTTCCCCAGCCCTTACCTCAGTTTCGTTGCGTAGGCATATTTTTCGTGAGCATTATGGAGAGTATGCCACTCAATAGTTAGGTTTTTGTTCGTGTATACGTTTAATGCCAATCTCAAATGATATTTGTATACACGGTTATTTCTTGATCTAGGTATTTGACAATGTTTCCTTTAATGCTAATTCTGAATTCGGTTGTTAAAAAAATATACTTAGGCAGATAGATATATGGATATAAATATAGATATATGAATATAGCCTTATTCCATGGTGTCACCACGTGAGTAACGCAGAAGTCAGGAGTAGAGTTATAGGGAGAAGAGGTAAGTCGGTTGACGAGGTTGTGAACCTTCATCAACTGAGATGGTTGGGACACGTGTTACGTATGCCTAGTCGCCGATCGCCTCGTCACGCAATGTTGGCTGAAGTAGGTCCAGGCTGGAAAAACGCCCGAGCTGACCAGACTAAAACACGGCACCAATGTATGAAGTCTCTGACTGTTAGTTTGAGCCATATTAGGCGATGCAGACTAGGTGGTTGGGGTCCGCGGGACAAGAGGAACCAGTGGTTGGAGACTCTAGATAATCACATGGCTGAGAACCGATGTCAGTGGCGTAGATATGTATACACACATTATCCTCATCTTTACGACGCTATACCTAATCTCACCATTTTTTCATCCTTCCTTTCTCTCTTTTAGTACTTCATATTTCTTTCGACTGCATTCTCTTATCTCCATCTTGCGCCTCACTGCCTTTTTACTTGTTGTACTGATATGAGGTGTGGCAACCCGGACCGTTACGCAGTAATGCCTGGTCCTAGGTTGATCTGGATATATATATATATATATATATATATATGTCGGTATATGGATATGGATATAAATCTATAGATTTAATGATATATATATATATATATATATATATATATATATATATGCGGATATAGATATATTCTTTAAAAAAGAAGGGTATGTTATGGGTGTATTTCATTCGTGTTTTTCTCAGACAACATATTACTTTGATTATGTTTTTTGTCATTTCCATGCTTAACCAATAGGTTTTAGTGTAAAGTAATTTGACTCTTCATAATACATGTATTTCCTCATTATAATAATGTTGGTAATGCCAAGTATATGTAAGTCGGTTAATGACTATTGCCTTCAACGCTGATTATTTTTTTCCACTCGCTTATTTATCCCTTTTTGAATATGCTATTTATAACGTGTACTATTATTCTTGATGAAGCTGCCATCTGGCTTCGTCGTACCTATAGAATCATTGGTCGTGCTTCATTTCAAATGGACTCTTGTAAAAAACTTTATAACCAATTGAAAAACCAGATCGATTACCAATTCGATTAAGTTTTGAAGAGGTTGCTTTATTACTCGCCAAAGGTTTCATCAACGGTCTTTTATGCAGTAGACCAGTACTTTCTGTTGCTAAACCATCACAGGAAACTATTCAAGAATATAACAATGCTCTGTTGAAGAATGCAGAAGAAATGGTATTTTTCTTGTACTTTGATTTTTCTTAACTTTCTATGATTTATCGTAGATGTATAATGTAATTCCTGCTTTTTATTTGTTGTATATATGACACTCAAGTCATGATTATTTGAACTGTTAAACTGTAAATCAATCCAATGACCTAACTCCTTGAAGACGGCTACAGTTAACGCAAACCTAAACTGAATGCGAATAATGTCCGAGATTGAAAGAAAACTGAAATTACCATAACATCCCTTTGTTACTTGTTCAATACTTTGTCATTGAAGAAGCTGATTTCGCTTCAGTGAATCATTACTCTAGTGCTACTAACTATATTTATCATCTAAATTAATTTCATCTATGTTTAATATATATTTAGACAGTTAAATTACGTTAGTTTCATCTGGCAGCTATTATTTGCTTTATAAAAGCCTAAAAGTAATGCATTTCCTTTATGCTATTGATTTGGATGAAGTATAAATAACTGCTCCATTGTCTCTTATATAGAATTGAGGCTTTAATAATTGCTGTCAGGCGTTATTTATGATTATTTCTGATTTCTAAACTAGTTTTATTCAAACTAACAGTCAGAAAACTACCAACATCACTTGGACTTCGGTGTAAAGCGATACATTGAGATTTAATGTATTTTGTTCATAATAAACAAAAGAGAGTGAAATAAAACACTTTCCCTTGACAAAGTTAAATAGAATAAGCGCAACAGTTTAATTAGAATAGCATGTATCCATTTTATTTCGAAGTTTTTTTCTTTGTATCAACTGCTTACAAGCTAAAACAATTTATACAAATTATATATTAATGATGGATAGTGGCTAGCAGTGGAATCTAGAACTCGCGTTTCATCTTATTTGGAACTCATTATCTGGATATACCTGCTTATCAGTGACTGATGTTGTCTTCATTGGGACTCCAACTTAGCATCGATTGCTTCAAATGCTAAAGCGTTATCCACTAGACCACCGAGACATGATATCCACTTTTTGTGCGACGCGTATACAAGCAAAGACAATAATCTATACAAATGTTTGCATACTTGAGTCAATCCAATAGAAAATAATCAGCTTCAAGTTAAGATAACATTGATATGACGTTATTGGATACACGAATTGAGTGGATAAATATGCGAGAGGTAATGATAAGTTTGTCAATATACGAATGGATTATATACACATTCTATAGTTGATAAAATGCCTTGAAATAAAAATGATCCACGCTATTCTGCTATTAAAAACGTAAGATAGATAAATGCAATGAGAAAGCAATGTTGTAATATCACCAACGGGCTAGTACGTTATATATACTTTACTCTTGTTGTGTCTGGTGGTCTGAAAGTTTATATTCTTTCCATTAAGTCTAAAATTATTGAATAAATCTCTCTAGCTTGGATGCGTCCACATCTCTAATACATCCGACAGCAATGAAAAACGCTACTCATGATATCCAATTGTTATTTGACTATGAATAACTGGCTTCAAACTATAAATGGTTTCATTTCATGTCACCAAATGATTATAAGCACTCAGCACAAAAAACAAGATCCGGATTTTGAACACCAGTGTCAAGTCAGTGCTGCTATATGGTTCAGAGACCTGGCGCTTCACAAAGAAATTCCAACAAACTACAAATATTCATCAACATCTGCCACCTACGCTCACTCGATACTGAAGATCAGATGGCCAGAATAATAAGAATAAGTAACAAGTAACTCTGGCTGACTGGCAACGAACCAATCAAGAACCTATCACTCAACAAATGTGAAGCGGAAGAAAGTGGAGATGGATTGGGCATTGACTGAGAAGACTGATTGGGGACATCACGAGCTAGGCCAGGCCGTCGAGTGAAAGCTGAATGGGAAACGACTAGTTGGATGTCTGAGACGAGGGTGACATAGAGGAGATGATGTGAGGAAGAAATGCAAACTTGTGAGCAGTCGTGGAATGAGGTTCAAAAGACTGTAGAGAAGAGAGTGGAATGGAGACGTGCTACTGAAACCGTATGTTCCACTAGGAACCCAAGGGATAAATGATAATAATAATAAATGATTATAAGCTGATTTTCTGAAACTACACTTTTTTTGCTTGAGTCATTCTAAAGCATCTCACTCCATAGTTAAATGCTGAATATTTTCATTTTTTTGCATCCTCTTAATCATAAGATTGGTATATTTCAAACTCAGAGAAGATTAAAATTGGTTGGTCATTATGGACAATTATTGAACGGTTTGAATGTACGTCAACGGCGTAAACTGAAGGCTAACTTAGGTGCTTCAGAATCAGAAGGTACAATAAACAACTGTACAAATACAAAAGAAGTGAATGAATCAAATATATGTAGGTAATTTCTTGACTCACATAAGTATCGTTTAACCTGTATAGTATATTCTTTCTGCTACTTTTTTATTGGCAAACGTAATTGTGATTTCTCAGTCTTGTAATTCTTGATCATCATCAGTATCATCATACGACTAGGCATTACTGCGTAACGATCCAAGTTGCCACACCTCATATCACCGAATAAAGTAACAAGGCAATAAAATGGAAAATGAAGAAGGAAAAAAATCGATCAAAAAAAGGTAGAAATTAGTAAAAGAGATGAAGGGGGAATGAAGAAATTATGAGATTAGGTATGATTGTTAAGAAGAGGATAATGTGTGCATACATCTGCACCAGTGACATCGATTCTGAACCATGTTATTTTGGGCCGCCAACCATTGTTTTCTCTTGTTACGTGGACCCCTACCGACTACTCTACATCTCCATTCATGCTTCAGACCAACAGTCAACGACTTCATGCAGTGATACTATTTTTAAGTGTGGCCGTTCGCGTCTTTTTCCAGCCTGCAGCTACTTCAGCTAACATTTCACGATGAGGCGAACGGTGACTAGGTATACGTAACACATATTCCAGCCACATGGTTCACAACCTTATTAACTGGCTTTCCGCTCCACTACTCCCCTCAAATAAAAACTCTACACCTGATTTCTATGTTATTGATGTTGTGACACCTCGACAAATGGCTTATGGTACGAAAGTAGTTGTGGTCAAACAGCTGAAGTCTTCTTACCTGCTCTACTTTGAATGGTCATGTTTCACAGGCAAACGGTAGAACATAGCGGGTTGTAGCACTTAACATTCGACTATTAATAGGAGTTCGGATTCTGCACCGGCGCCACGGATGGTGAGAGTCAGGTGAGCCTTTGTATCCGCGCAGAGATTTCTTCTATCACTGTAATTGTTACTTTATTACTGGAAGGCTTAGTTTAATATTGATGGTGATATGATTAACCATATTAAATTTTTTCTTTACCAATCAGTATTTTGAAAAGTGAACATAGTGTATGAAATCATTGCACTTCAGTATACTACCTGAAATAATCAAATTCTTAGGATTAACTTTTCTTCCTTATGTGTTTCTGCGATTTAACAGCGTAATTTTGAAGTGTTGTTTGTTAATAATGAATACCAGACAAAGAATAAGGCAACAATTACTCTTTTTTGCTGAAATGTGTTCAGTGCTGTTGATCTGCGTTCACAAGAGTAGATTGAGTCCTATATTTGCTGTCCACTAGAGAATAACACAGACGAAGATGTCAAAACCAGGATCGGAAAAGCAAGACAGGCTTTCATTAATCATAAATAACTGTGGAGATCTGCTGCACTCAGCACAAAGAACAACATCCGGATTTTGAACACCAATGTCAAGTCAGTGCTGCTATATGGTTCAGAGACCTGGCGCTTCACAAAGAAATTCCAACAAACTACAAATATTCATCAATATCTGCCACCTACGCTCACTCGATACTGAAGATCAGATGGCCAGAATAATAAGAATAAGTAACAAGTAACTCTGGCTGACTGGCAACGAACCAATCAAGAACCTATCACTCAACAAATGTGAAGCGGAAGAAAGTGAAGATGGATTGAGCATTCACTAAGAAGGCTGACTGGGGAGGTTCAAAAGACTGTAGAGAAGAGAGTGGAATGGAGACGTGCTACTGAAACCGTATGTTCCACTAGGAACTCAAGAGAAAAATAATTATAATAAGAGGATAACAATTCAAAAACAGAATTTTGTGCTAATTTTAAAGCTCTCATTTCTCACAGTAGTTGTCTACTTGTGTCAACCGAAAGAGTGAAATAGGCTTGTTCAATGCATTGGGATCTGTACGACGTTAACTTGTGCCTATTCTTTGAAAAGCATGCATACTCTTTGTTCTTATTACCTTTTTCAGACGTTCAATTTAATGCATCTTGTTATAAGCATCCATTCAAATGTATAGATATGGCTAGTGGAATTCAGTAGCCTTGTTTAACAAAACCATTCAGTTAAAATAAATTATCGCAAATATCAGAAACCAAGGTAAAGTCATCTGTCTAGCTGTAATCACTAGAAGTTTTCACAATTGTGAATTAGTAAAAGAAATTAAGAGATTGAAAAGGTATTTTAAAAGAATGATGTATGATGTATTCAGTTATGGAAGCCTGTAATTATTAAGATTAGTAGTAAAACTTGGATGGCGATATTTTATTTTTCTAAACATTTATCAAACTTCTATTCTAAGCTCTTCAAATGACGGCCAGCTGGGGAATTCGTTCGATCTCCAGTTGATTTTAGTCAGCAGGAAATCATTTCATGAATATTTCCGCCGGATACTTCCTCGTACATATTAACCATATTGTGAATTTCAGAGAGCCATAAACCATTTCTTATCTCAAGTTCGTATTCATCAGGGATTGACATCCGTTCGAGAAACATTGAAAACCTGGGAGCACTGGACAGTGGTTTCGTCGTACTATGAGTCTCCTTAACAGTACACACCCATAACCTCGCCAGGAGTCGAACTAGTGCTCCCAAGTTTCTAATGTTTCTCTAACTCATTTCAGTCTATGATGAATACCAAGTTGAAATCAATAAATCCGCACAAACCCCCAAATTGCACTTATCTGTTGGATTGTATGACTTAAGGTGCCTGACAATGAAAATTGATAATATAACATCAACTTGTTGATTAGTTTTATTATGCCGATAAAACGTTTTTTTTTAAAGGATTGTTTTACCTTTCTAAAACTACTTGTAAATCTTTATCCCTACTTTGAGTAGTCGTCTATTCTTGCAAGTGAATATTACAAAGGCAGTTGGAAAAATTGGTCATCGTTCATGTTGTATCTAATTCATTTGCTTCTATACATATGTTTATTCATCAAATTACAACTAATAAGAAGATGTAATACAACTAAAAAAAATAGGCTCTTTTACTTCTTATCATTTGTAGCTTTGAAGACATGTGTTCGAAAAAGACGTTATGAGCGACGTTTATTACAAAAACGGTTAAAGAAACAAATGCATACAACTGATTTTTGTTATCGTACTGAGTACAGTGATAATGACGATGAGTACAATTCAGATCTAAGTGATCAAAACTCTCCTGATATGCCTGATTCACCTATGACTTTGGATGATTTAATATCTGAGCGTACTGCACATCAATATGCATCGAAGTTGTCTATGATATCAAATGAGAAAATTGAAGAATCCTTACCCTACATTCCACAACATATGCCTCGTCCTACTCCTATTGAATGGCGATGTCCTGGTGAATATCTGTTTTTTAGTTTACCACATAATACACTAACCAAAGGTCTTTATTCAAGTAAGTTTCTATGAAAATCGTTTCATTTATTAATATAGGTGTAAAACTTGGACACTGTGGTAGGATTTAATTCCATATTACATTCCTTTATTTGATTTATAACACACAGTGATACAGTATTATTCACTTCATGACGACGTTTCCAGCATAAATTATCACTGCTCATAATCATATCAATGTAGTCACAATACTTTCAACACCTCATTTTTGTAGCCCTGTCACCCACCTCATATGATTTATTTTTATTGGTAGTGAAATGTTCCACATCTCTGGTATAGGTTTTGTGTCACTCCTATTACATATGTTGGGTGTTGGTTGATTCAATGAACAAAGATTCAGTAATCAATCTCTCTATCCATCCACCTAATTATAGTGAACTTAATTCAGTACAGTGGTTTTATCCCACCTACCCTGTTGTGTAGTTGTGTGTTAATGCATGCATTGCAATAGTCGAGGTTCTCTTCCAGATCATTGATATTATTCGGGTTTGTCATTCTATAGTTAGCTAGTTTCCCCCGACTGTCTAGTTTGATCTATGTACTTGACCTCACAGTCATTACATGGAATTCGATGGATTGGATTACTTTGCTTAATTGGTTCTATATGACAGTTTCCTTACACAATATAAACAGGAGTAGGCCCAATCCAATTCAGTTACCGGGTAGAAAATGAACAAAGCGAATTACCTATGTTAGAGTGCAGGATAAAACGAAGGACAGATGGTGGTTTGGATACTACCGTCTACAGAAAATCGACACATTCTAACAGGTATCTAGACTTCAAGACTTGCCATCTAATGTCACGTAAGGCAGGCTTAATCAAATGTCTAAGTGATAGAGCCAGAAAACTGACTAGTCAGTGCAAGGACCTAAGCAAGGAATTGAAACACGTAAAAGAAGCACTAGTAGTTAATAATTATCCTCCACAGTTCATTAAGACATTCGTACGAACACACAAGAAACGAAAAAACAATAATAACGTGAGTACGTATAATAATGACAATGCAAGTAGAAAGTAGTTCACAGCCTCCATTTTGTTACCCTATATGGAAGGTACATCAGAAGCTTTACGTAGGATCGTCAACAAAGCTAGAATCACGGTGAGATTTAAAAACCTACAAGCTGACTCAGAGATAAGCGTTTTCGGTTGGCTTAAGGGTTCGATGAAGCAAAATAATCCAATCTATCAAATTCCATGTAATGACTGTGAAGTACATAGGTCAAACTAACCAGTTTGGGGGGAATTAGACTGGCGGAACATAGCAATTTAATCGTGAAGCTTTCATTGTCTTTCTAGACGACATCATCAGCACTAACTTCAGTATGAAGTGACCTGTCAATATCTACCCGTGAGTGATTTAGTAGCTTGCCTGGACGAAGCGGTCTGTGATTGGTTGTTTCCTTTGCCTGTTGTATCATTGACTGTATAGATTTTGCTGTTGACTGTCCTTCTGCTTGACCTCTCACCTTCCTGTCGTTTATCACCTTTCTTATTGGTTGATAGACTGGGTCTGTGCCTATACATCTGTTGATTGCTGACTGACCTGAATGCAAAGCTTCTAGGAATTCTCTGATATTTTTTATCCTCTCTCCGTCCAAAATTTCTACATTGTCGAAATTGAATTCATGTCTGTAGTTGTGATCCACATGAATTGAAATGAGTGATGAAATATCATGTGTGACGTTTAATAGCCAATTGGTGTACATGTAGACAAAGGCGAAGAGGGCGACCACTTTGTCCAATGTAGTATTGATTAGAGTTATTGCAGTTGATTTTGTAAATGATATTCGGAGAGATATTGACAGCTCACTTCATACTGATAATGTCGTCTAGAAGGACGATAAAAGCTTCACGATTAAACAACCCAGCTCAGTGAACATAATACAACCAGACCATCCACCTGAGCTACAAATATTCTCCACTATTACATAGCAATTTTGTTAACTATAGGATGGCAGACCCGAATAATATCAATAATCTAGAAGAGAACCTCGACTATTGCAATGCGTGCATTAACACACAACCACACAACAGGGTGGGTGGGATAAAACCACTGTACTGAATTAAGTTCACTAAAATTAGGTGGATGGATGGAGAGAGATTGATTACTGAATCTTTGTTCATCGAATCAACCAACACCCAACACATGTAATAGGAGTGACACAACACCTATACCATTTCTCATGATTTTCTGCTTAAATATCTCCCTCCCCCCCCGCATTTACTAAAGAGGTTTTTTATTACTAATTGTCACCACCGAAAAAGAATCATTGGGAAATTTCGGAGCACTGAACAGTTGTTATGATCTTGTTTTGAACTTCTCTCACGATCAAAATCTTCATCTTCAATTATTTTCTTGAAAAATAATTAGTCAAGGTTCATAGCTCATGTAACGCTTTTTATTGAAGCGAAATTCTTATCAAAAGGTTGTTTCATATGAAGTTGGCATAAAAATCACTGATAACTCAAGTGAAATGATTTCAAATAAATCTAAAATCGTTCAGATCTAAGTTTTGCAATATTCTTGAAAGCGAGAATTCAACGCATCTCTTCAAGAAGATATAAACTTTTTACTCTAATTAACGTAAAACTCGGAAACGCTAACAGTCGAAATGTGTACCATTAGATTGCCATGAACAAGGTATAATAGTCTAAGTGTGAACCTTTCTGCTTAGATTGGCTAAACTGGACCTTAAGGTAAGTTTTATTTTGTGTGAGTCATACAACAAATCTCCTTAGTCTATCGAATTAACATGATTTTTTCCTTACTACTTTTATGAATACAATAGTAAATTGTTTATCGCTTATATTTTGTATTACTTATTACTCTTTAGTTGTTCTTTGGTTAACTGACCTAATTCAGAAACAATGTAAATCAATTGATGCTTCCAAACAAAATAGTTTTATTGCACAAGATCAATTTATGCAACGCTTACAGTGTTGCTTTGTATATATGGATTTATGGGAGAAAGGCTATTATATTAGTACTTCCACTGCTAAAATGGGTGGAGACTTACTTGTTTATCAAGGTGAGCAGTATTCATTTGTCTCATATTTCCTACTATTCCACATATTTTGTTTTAAATACCGTGTCAAATAGTTTTACAGAGATATTAATTGAAGCTGAAAGAAATGTGACTCACTACACCAAAGTTTAGTTCGTTGTAGTTATACTACTAATCAAGTTTCAGTTGTATTTCAGTGACTGAGTGCTACACTAATGTCTCATGTAACTGAGGAGGCATCTGGAACCTTTGATCTAATTGTCAACCGATACGAACAAAAGATACAAAGCAACTGATCAATAGAGTTTCTGAAATAGGTCTTCTTTTGCTGCTGAATTGATGTATCATTTTGACTATCTCAGATAGCCGTGGTTAGTAGACTTGTATTGATATTGGGTGATGATTGAGGCTATCAGTACAATTCTGCCAAACCATGACTACCTTGAATAGCCAAAATGATTAACATTATGAGTCTCTCCCTCTCCAATTCAGATTTAGATTGGGATGAGAAGTCCTGATTGGGCAGCCAGTATGAGTACGATCAAGCGGTAGTAACGCGTCATGACTTCACATGGTAGTCAGGTAAAACCCTTGGTGATTGAAGTGAAATAAAAACCTAGTCAGCAGTCGGACCTCGTAAGTCAGTTTATAGAGCACTAAACCAAAAAATCGATGGTCGCTGGTTAGAATTCGATCGCGGTCCAACTTTTCATTTCATCTTCAATCATCATCCAGTATTAATTTATGTGTCTATCAAGAGGTTAATAATTTGAACTCTATGATAACCTAGCAAGGTTTCCTGTCACCATTTATGATACATTGGACCAAGTTATCTTACATAATTTATTTAATAATATAAACTACTCATAGTTTTTGTTATATAGGATAATGCTATTTCTATTGCTACTCGATAACATTATTCTTGAAATACCTCTTCAACATACCTGAAATGCTCCGGATTCGAGATTATAACCGGAACAGGCTGGCTGGCTGACTTCAGGAAAAAATAATAATGTGCGGATCAAATTGAAACGCTACACTACGCATCATCATAGAACATAGCATAGAATGCCAGTCAACTGGATCTTCACCTCAAATTTATCGATTTTGAAAATGCCTTCGACAGCGTCGACCGACAAGTAATTTGGCAGGCAGCTGCTTCAGTACTACGGTTTTAGTACCACAAATATTTATTGACCTCATTCAACAGCAGCTATCTGCTGACGCTACATGCCACATGATTCACAATGGAAAGCTAAGTGATACCTTTGAAGTGAAGTGAAGACAGGAGTAAGACAAGGTTGCCGCCTACTATCACCGATCATCTTACCGATTGTGGTCGACTCGACTGGGTCATGCAACAAACTGTGAGGAGCAAGAAGATGGGCATACGCTGTTTGACCGATGAAAAGACCCAGAAGATTTGGATTTCACCGATTATGATTTATGTCTAGTGTTGCAGATCTACAGGCAACAACTAACAAGTTGGCAGAAGAGGCAGGGCAACCAAAGAGAACGGGACTTCCTCCTTGTGAACGTATACAAGACAGAGGTGATGAACATACCCAACCAACAACAGTATCAATAACAAGCACCAATCACCATGAATGAGATAAATCTAAAGGAAATTGTTTCTTCCACCTACCTAGACAAGGCTGCATCGTTTCAACTACAGGTGGCATAGGCACAGATGACGATGTCAAAGCCAACATCGGAACAGCAAAACAGGCTTTCATTAATCTGAAATCAGTGTGGAAATCTACTGCACTCAGCATGAAGCGCAAACAACATCCGAAGTTTCAACACTAATTCACTCAAGTCAGTTGAGTGACTTGGCGCGTTATGAAAAGCATTTCCAACAAACTACAGACATTCATCAACAACTGCTACCTACGCTCACTCGATACTGAAGATAGATCAAATGGTAGATCAAATGATAACAATAAGCAACAAAGAACTTTGGCTGGCAACGAACCAATGTACCAAGAACCTTTCGCCCAACAAATATGCAAAACAAGAAAGTGGAGATGGATTGGACATACATTGAGAAGGCCGATTGGGGACATCACGTACCAGGCTAGGCCGTCGAGTGAAAGCTAAATGGGAAACCACGAGTTGGGCGTCCGAGGCGAGGGTGACACGGTGGAGATGATATGAGGAAGAAATGAAAGCTTGTGGGCAGTTGTGGAGTCAGGTTGAAAAGACTGCAGCGAAGAGAGTGAAATGGTGACATGCTGCTGACGCCCTATATTCATCTAGGAACTCAAGGGACAAATGCTATAATAATAGTGTCGTAATCTTTGAGTCAGTTCGAATAACCTCTGTTAATCTCACTTAGAATACCCTATAAGTCAGTTTATTTTCTTTGGACAGTTTTTTTTTGCATGACTGACTATGAATTTCAAGGCGTACATTTGATATCATTTGTTACCTGCAAGCTGGCAACACTTTAATTCCAAGGTGTAGATTTTCCTAGTTAGTCTCCAATTCTTTCGTCATCATTGCAAACATCGATATTACCTATGATGCAGTCCTAAAGGTAGTATTCAGCGCAAACTAATGTTACCTAGAGAAACCATGAAGCGCAGGACAGCTGTTGTGCCCTAGTTTAGGACTTCTCAGAAGTGCAGACACATTACCTTGTGGGAGATCTACCGTAGAACCATCATATCTCCTGGCAAGCGCCTTACCACTGAGCCACTGACTTGAAATCCAATGGTCCAGATTTCCCTGCTTTTATAAATTCACGATATAGCATGACCATCATTCAATGCCATCAGCGATTATCTGTCCTCATACGTGACTCGGTTGACCTTACAGGTTGTGACTTATCGCTAGAAATTTGGGAAATTCATCTCAAAGTATTTGACTAGTGAGCAGTGATTCAAGGAGACCTCAAACTTGGCTTGAGTTTATCGACCAATTATCCTCACTCTGTCAAGTTTCGGAACACAGGAATGTCATCCGACACCCGTCAATAGTTTTATTTAGGTGTTATTTGACTCCCAAAAGTCTTACGACAATGTCTCTCACTGAAAGGGGTTCCGAGTAAGCACATCACGCCATTGAAGGCTTTTTACTTGACAGCCTGTGGGCATGTTAAAGCCTACGGTGTATTGTGGAGCGAGCTATGTACGTCGAGTGGTATCCATCAAGGATGCCCAATCTCTCCATTTTTATTCAACTTTATCATAGATGTTCTTATGAAGGTCTTCCCCTCGACACGTGACTACACGGGGATTGACCCAATCTCAGGAGATTTTTTCGTAGACCTAGAATACACGCATGACATCATTCTATTAGGTAAAGACTCTGACAAAATACAAAGTCTTCTGGACACCTTGAGTGGCTATTTGAGACTGTTTAGGATGCGTTTCTCGCCGTACAAATGCAAATTGTTGCTCCAAGACTGGTCTTTAACTGTGTTCTGGCTAAAAATAGTGAGTGTAGTGATTGTGTGTTGATCACTTTACTTACCTTGGAAGCCTTATAAGCCGTAGTGGCTCAGTGGAGGACGAAATCTCTGCTTAGATACGAAAGGCTCATTTGGCTTTTGTCAACTTACAGCATCTGTGGCGCCACCACGATATCCGACTGTCTTTTACGGGGGAGTGTACTGTGCTGTAGTTCACTCCATCTAACGGTTTGGCTGTGAAACATGACCATTAAAGGTAGAAGACATGAGAAGGCTTCAGGTGTTTTATCACCGTTGCCTTCGTGCCATAGGCCGTGTTTTCTGGTGTCACCACACCAATAACGCAGAAATCAAGTGTAGAGTTTTTATTTGAGGGGGAGAGGAGGTTGCAGAGGCGAAGGCCAGTTAACAAGGTCGTTAACTTCCATCGACTCAGATGGCTGTAATATATGTTACGCATATCTAGTCACCGTTCGCCTCGTCTTGCATCGTTGTCTGAAGTAGCTCCAGGCTGGAAAAGGCGGGTGTTGGTCAGACTAAAGATGGCATCACTCCATCAAGTCGTTGACTGTTGGCATGAGACATGAATGGAGATGCAGACTAGTCGGTTTGTGTTCATGTGACAACAGAAATCAGTGGTTGTTGTCTCTGTGATATAGTTCAGAATCGATATCATTGGTGCAGATGTATTAACACTTCATCTGAATAGCTGTACCGAATTCGTCATTTTCTCATTCCTCCTTCATCTCTTTAACTACTTTCTACTGCTTTAAACCTAATTTTTTTCTTTCTTCGTCTTTCATCATACTATTTTGTTACTTGATGTGGTGACATGAGGTGTGAAAACTTGAACCAGGCATTAGTGTGTAACACACTAATGCCTGGTCTTATGTTGATTTTGATGATGAATTCAGCTTGGTTGTTTGTGGGGATTGATTTGTCTCAAGGTCTTACTGATCGTTTATCTGCCTTACTTATTTGCTTATTGTTCTCAGATTTGTAGTTATTCGTTTTTAGATCGTTGTAGGAGTAATATAATTGCACAACTTTATCAAACAAACTGGGAGAATCATAGGCAAAAGAGAGTTGGATATTATTTGAACACTGCAAGAACAAAGACATTTTCAGAATAAAATGACTTCGCTTTATTTCATGGCTTTTCGTCAGCTGCAAACAGCTTACAAATCAAACAAATTATTAGTAGTAACAGTGAAATAACATGCTTTAAATATGTGGATATAAATAAAGATTTGAAATTCAGGATTAACAATACGGTAGTGAGTCGAGGAAACACAGGACTAATGATCAAAATCGATCTGATGAGATCGAAAATTCGGGATCTGTTGAGAGGCAGGAAGATATCAAACAGAAAAAATTGAAAAAGAAGGGGTTCCTTAGGTGCTAGTGGAGTCGAAGGTTACTTAATTTTAAGGAAAAACTGGAAAAAACCTTAGTTTGAATGTTTAACAGCCATTAATTAATGAAGACGTGATGTAATCAAAATAAAGGAAAACTATATACGTGGTTACAGTTACCAGGGCAAAGGATAATTAATTACAGTTTCTTTCTGAGTATATAGGTCAAGTTTAAAAGGTTTGATAGTAAGAGC